CCGTACCGGACCGGGGACCGGCAACAGGATTGCAACCCTCGGTGCTGCCCCCGCGCCTCGCTCAGCCAGTGAGCGGGAACCGGTCTGTATGTGGGATCCGAACCCTTGGGCGGGAGCGCTGCCGCGCTTCCCAAGCGGCGCACTTATCCAGTGCGCCACCGGGCCGGCCCCATTTTGCTCTTTATTTTTATTTTATTTTTTTTGGTCTTTTTGTCTTTTTCCGTGTCCGGCAACGGATCGCAACCCTCAGTGTTGCCCCCGTACCGGACCGGGGACCGGCAACAGGATTGCAACCCTCGGTGCTGCCCCCGCGCCTCGCTCAGCCAGTGAGCGGGAACCGGTCTGTATGTGGGATCCGAACCCTTGGGCGGGAGCGCTGCCGCGCTTCCCAAGCGGCGCACTTATCCAGTGCGCCACCGGGCCGGCCCCATTTTGCTCTTTATTTTTATTTTATTTTTTTTTGTCTTTTTTGTCTTTTTCCGTGTCCGGCAACGGATCGCAACCCTCAGTGTTGCCCCCGTACCGGACCGGGGACCGGCAACAGGATTGCAACCCTCGGTGCTGCCCCCGCGCCTCGCTCAGCCAGTGAGCGGGAACCGGTCTGTATGTGGGATCCGAACCCTTGGGCGGGAGCGCCACCGCGCTTCCCAAGAGGCGCACTATCCAGTGCGCCACTGGGCCGGCCCTACCACAAAATCTTTTACCTTCTCACCAATGATAAACTTATTGAATGCCTCTTATATACTATACAGGTGTTTCAGATTTTGTACTTGTACCAGAAGAGCTGGTTGAGGAAAGCCTTCAGATGCAAATAACAAAAAACCCAACTCAAAGTAGCTTAAATAATGAGGAAATATGCCACCTTATATAAGAAGTCTGGAAACCAACCAGCTCCATAGTTGGTTAATTTAGCAGTTCCATAATGTCATCAAGGGCCCAGGTTCTTTCCTTCTCTCTACTTTCCCATCATCGGTGTGCTGGTTTTGTTCTCCAGAAGTTCCCCTCATGGTCAAAAGATGGCTACAGCATGTCTACCTTCACATCCTAAGATGACACCACCAAGAAAAAGACAAAACATTCTTTTTTTTTTTTTTTTTTTTTTTTAAAAGATGACCGGTAAGGGGATCTCAACCCTTGGCTTGGTGCTGTCAGCACCACGCTCAGCCAGTGAGCAAACCGGCCATCCCTATATAGGATCCAAACCCATGGCCTTGGTGTTATCATCACCGCACTCTACCGAGTGAGCCACGGGCCGGCCCATGACAAAACATTCTTTTAGGAGAAAGGAAACAGCCCACTCATGCAGCTGCATTCAGCTATTGGATTGGGTGGAGGGTCTAAGAAGGATTCATCTATATATCTGGGGTCTCGGCAGGGCTGGTAGAAAGGCTGGGACCTCTCCACATTCTCTCATCATTCAGTAGTCTAGCCTGAGCTTCTTTACATGGCAGCTGGGTTCCAAGAGGGCAAGCGCTTATCAAACCTCTGCTTGCCTACCATTGGCTAAAGCAGTTATGCACCAAGCCTGGAGACAATGTGGGAGAGAACTCCACAAGGGCTTGAACTCTGGGAAGCATGGTTTCTTGGAAGTCATCAGTATAACAGTGTAACCCACGGTATTATGCTGGACCCTTTGGGGGTAGGTACTGCTTATCTTCAAGGGCTTACAATATGGTCAGGGACATGAGACAGAAACTCTCAAAAAGTTAAATAGCAATAGAAGATTTAAATACTTAAATAACATTTTTAAGACTATGTAAGTCTGAAGGCAGGCACAGGGAGCGGGGTATCAACCTGGGCAGGCTACTTGGATTTTGCCCAAGAGACCTCATATGGTGGCGAATATTCCATGCCTCAGTGTCAGGCCTTCAGCCTAAGTCTTCAATATGTTTAGTGCTCCAATATTGATTGGTTTCTAGAGCGATGCCTGAGTTTGACAAAGCTCAAATAAGCTGCCAGTGAGAGTATACCAGAACGTTGATGACAATGAAGAATAGAATGTAATATCAAGCAGACCAGATGTGAAAATTGACCTGAATGAACAATCCATTGCCTCATTGAGCAAGTTCATGTGAAGCTAAAGTTGCTTGAGAAGAAAGATGCTTGAAGAACATGGAATCAGAATAAGGCTGCTTGGCTATAGACCCTGAATTACTAATGGGTTCTGATGGCCTGCCACATTCATCCTCATTCACTCATTCATATGTATATTTTAAATGTATTATGAAGAATTTAAGACAAAAAGATATAAAAAAATAATACGAGGGTACTTCAAAAAGTTCATGGAAGGATTCGTAGTATTTTTCAGTTCAGTTTTTCCATGAATTTTTTCAAGTATCCATGTACAATTGATACTTGTGAAATAAAATCAGTACAAATGAATGCCCCTGAATATCCTCTGGAATTAAATCTCTTTCTTCCCCACAGAATTATTCATTTCCCTGAATTTGTTGTAAAATGCTTGCATGCATTTCTTTATTCCTACACTACATATATATCTATAGATAAATCTATCTATCTATCTATCTATCTATCTATCTATCTATCTATCTATCTATCTATCTATATCCCTAAGTAATAAAGCATATTGTCTTACGTTCAGCCAATACTGAGATACCAGCTAGGATATAGTGACTAATCAACATAGACAGTCCCTGGGACATGGAGTTTCAGGAATAATCACCAGAACAAGTAATTATAATTGTGGTTAAGTGTTACAAAGCAAAAGCACTGGTAGTTATGAGAGCCCCTGCCGAGGGGTTAACCTGGCCAGGTTTAAGGCAGGTACAAAGGCCTGCCAGGCACCCTGGACATTCACATGGTCTTGACGAGGCACCCCCTACCCTGGGTAGTTCCTGCATGGCTGCATTGCCAACCTCCCCTCCACCCCTTTCCCCAAGTGGTTTCACCCCTCCTTGGCAGAAAGGAAAAAGCCTGTCCTAAACAC